TTTCCACACGATCACAGCATCCAGCAACGAAACACCTCTAACCAACTCGTTTAAGGCGAATGGAGTAATGTGACAGTGACAACCACAATCCTTTGCTATTAGCTACTGACCCTCACAGAAAGTTAAGCTGCTCCTTTTCTTGTTAATTTGTAGCTTTTTTTTTTGATGCCAGTAATCGGAGGTAGCAGTCCGACTTCCAGTTTGGCAGTTTCATTTGACTCTCTAATCGTGATGGCAGGCATTGGACATGGCGGAAGACGTGGATCTGTGGCACAGTTTTGAAGACCACTCCACCCAGGCAAGAGCGGAAGGAGCATTAAAGTGACTGTTACTTGCACAGGTTGTTGTTGCTCCTCTTTTCTTTCGAGTCACGCCCTTGGCAGCGCTCTCCACGTCAGCCATCACATTGTATTCGGTGTGGCAAGAAGACCCCGACTAGTCCGTTGCACTAATCTTCTATAGCTCCTGTGCGAGTGAGAGAACGCTTTTGAGCCTCACAGCTGCTTTGACTGGATTTGGAGTGATGCTTGGCCTAAAATGCAGGAGTGGACACCCTCATTTCATCATCGGTTGTGTCCAAAGTCAGAAGTCGTTGAGGCGAAAGTCCATTGTGGTGTCATCATTGACATCACTAGGCAGATGGAGGAAGGGAAACTCCGAGAGCAAAACATTTCCACATATTCAAGCTAGTGCCTTTTTAGCTGTTGGTAGCTTTCCTGTGGAGCACAGAAAATGAAGTGGACGCCAAACACCGTCTTCTCCATTGTGAAGAAGTTTGAGGACTTCCAGCGCTTCCATCGTCCACCGTTGCAGATCGAGATGGAAGTGGTAACAAAATCAAGTTTTATTTCCGCTGTCATCGGTGTAAAGTCTCCAAGACTTTCCGATTGGTAGGGCTACAAAAACTTGCATCGCGGGGTGGGTAGGAGGAGCTGGAAGCGTTGGAAAGTGAGACGTTGACATATCCCCGCCAAAAGCAATAAACCACAAAACTTTCCACCACCCACACAGCCAATTGATTAAACAAAGAATTGCATTTTTAATTTTACCTTTTTAATCCGGCTTGGAAACAAGTGAAATGCCCCACAGATGTAACAATTCGGGGATCAGTCGATGCTCTGTTTACATTTAAACGAAATCGTTTACTAATCCTCTCTTTTTAGGGGACATTTCTTGATGACAACATTTCAGACACTCCTCGCCTTCTCCTGCCACCACCGCTGAGGCGCAATAAGGCGAGCATTTTTTCGAGCAGCACCTAGTGGTTTCTTTCTTTGGCAAAATCTCCTCCTTCAACCAGGAAGGCTGTTAATGCTCGTAAAGTTTTCATGTGCGTGCTTTTCAGAGGCGTGTGGAGGAGAGTTGGGGCATTCCAAAAGGGGTGGCGTCAAAAGCCGGTGAGAAGTTCTATTGATGGTGCCCAAACTGGATCCCTTCATCAGGCAAAACTGGGCCTAGTGGAACCACTCCACAATTTTCACACCAATGCATGTTCATAGGGTAGCGAGAGATGAGGAGAAGGGAGATTTGAAAGGCAATGATTGCGGTCCTTTGGTAAGTAGAAGTAAATTTCACCTTCAAATATGTGTGCCTTGTGGGGAAAGGGAGGAGTTGGAAACACAAATGTAAGACATTTTGTGTTTAAATGGCTCTTACTGATGGGAAGCGGAAATCCACTTCTGAAAGTCTTTCATTAGACGGTTGCCGAGGCGACGCTTCATCTCCCAATGACTGAGTCTGTACCTCCCCATCCTTCCATAGTTTGTGTAAAACCCTGGGGATGCCCAACAAATCTACCCCAGGAAGTTTCTTTTCCTGAAAGTCCCTGGAAGGAAAGCCTAAAAATCGAGACCAGTTGCCCTCTGTGATGCCAATTACTGACGCCATCTACGAAGAGAATGTTGAGCATTTTTGTCGGTTTTGACAACTCTACTTCTTCCTTCTACCTTCAGAGCCACTCTGTGGAGTTCTTGATAGAGCTCACGCTTCCTCCTCGATCTTACAAATTGTACAAAAAAAAATCAAGCTAACTGCCATGACTTGCGGTTCTAGAAGCCTCCTGATCGGACACCTTCCCCACTGCTGTAGGACCACCAGTGGGGCAACACTTCGCTCCACCGTCTTATAAAAGAAGGTTGTCTGCTTGCGATTCGAGGGGAGGAGAATGCTGTCGAGCTCTGACTTGACCCACACACTACCTCCTACAGTTAAGCGCAAGATGAACACCAAACTGATGACCCGATAGTCGAGTAAAGGAGACATAACAGGTGGAAGCGGACAATAGCTTCATTTCATGCTAGTTTTTTTCCCCTCCTTTTAGAAAATAGGCCGATCGGCATGCGTGTTGGCTGAGGTAATCACATGGGATTTTAACAGGCGCTTGTCATTGCACACAGACTGCTGGAGTTTTATTTTTATTTATTTATTTTTTTGCCCACATCAACATGGCTTCGTCCTGTTTCGGCTTTCAGTGTGTGTTGTACACACAGTGTGACCAAAAAGCTGTACATGAAGGCTACTGACGGGGAGGGGGGGGGGAAGGGGAGGAGGGGGGAGCAAAACAACCAGTCTGGTATTTGCCATTGTATCTACTCATTGGACGACTTTTTTCTGACTGAAGCTATTTACGGAGAGAACTTTGATGGCTGGTGGGGCTAGCCTTTGACTATGCCGAAAGCCTCCTCTACTGCCGTCTAGGCTGTCTCCAGACGCCAACCTCATCGTGAGTGCCTCTAAATCACTTAACTCGAAAGGGCAGAACTGTAGCACTGCACATTTGTGAGTGAGGGGATGAAATTAGAAGGCGCAAAAGGAGGGGAAAAAACTTGGTGCTTATAAAGTTACTTTACAAAAAAAATTGATTTGATTTTAGCGCACAAAAACTGTTTCATTGTTTTAGTGAATAAAATTTCAAATGTTGCGGTGTGGAGCTTGTTGACAAACAAGTGACAAGGGTAGTCTCGTATTTTTAAGTGGTTATAGAACGACCACAGTTTTTATCATCTCTTGTGACCGCGTTTATGTGATAGAGAGTCAACAGGAAGTGGATAGTGCGTATATAAGGCAGTCTACTGTCATCCATGTGTGACATTTTTCGGAAGAGGAGGCACAATGAAGATCTCCATTGTTTTCGCTTTGGCTCTGTTGACCCTCGTGACTGTTGCCTGGGCGTACGTCAAATTATTGTCTCCATTCCGTCTCGATGGCAATTTAAATCCTCACTCACCCTTTTTATTTACAGGGAAACGGATGTTGAAGGAACTGCGAAGGAAGGTGTTCTGAAGACTTTGGCCGAGTTGAAAGATTTTTTGTCTAATGATCCGATGGGCCAAAAATTGGCTGCTATTGGCAAAGACCTAAAGGATTTCTTCCTTATGGCCAAAACAAAGACCCATTCAGCTTTTAAAGAGTATATTAAGAAGCTGATGGAATCAGAAGAATAACAATTATGGTCCAGTCATGCGTGTGTCCCCAGGTATTGGATAATCCACTTTTTTGTCATACTTCCAAATAAAACCTCCTATCACTAATTTCAAAGCTCTATTCTTGGCTTTTCAAATTCGGATCATAATTTCCCATTTTCTGTGTCTAAAATTGACCTGCACTGATGTGGAATCATATTACTTAAGGGAAGTGAAGTCACGAGAGTTTCATCACATGGCTCTTTTATTGGGCAAAAAGGTGATATTGTCAAAGGACGACATCTGTCGTTGAAATGACTAAACACAGAGGAGGCCAACATGATCTAGTTTCATCCACCTATTTAACCCCAATGGACAACAAGGCATCGCTATTAATGAAGGAAAGTAAACACTAGTGACAGCGAAGCACAAACGGCTATGCTAGCACGACTTCGGGAATGCGCTTCTTCCATACCCAACCAATTTTGCAGTATAGGCGTATGTTTATTGCTACTTAAATTAAAACAGTAGCAAATGCTGTTACCGGTGAGTGTACCGTGGATTGCTTAAATGCCGACTTCGCAATTCAGGGTGATTTTATCACAAGTAGTTGTGCATTACAGAAGCGAAAGTGTCCAGGTCTACCTTACCCACGAATGATGTTACGCCGGATTGCTAAGACAGCCCTTACTTCTCTATTTCAAAAGTGACGCACAATTCAAATCGCTATATAGCCCTATGCTATCACGTATCTAGTCCCAAAATAAAGAAAGCAATTAATTTGCTCGTTGTTTCGGAATTTATTAACTCGTGGCAAAAGCTACTTAAATACGCAACCAACTTTGTTCTCTTGAGGTAGAACTGTTTTTTAACATGAAAAGTAACCGATGAAATGTTCATAAATTGTGCTTGAATACTAACTAGAAGGCTGAGTTTAAAAAAAGTGTTCAAAAAATTATAATTAGCCGATGAAACACATAAGACTTGTTTTAACTGTGTTTTGTGGGTCAGAACGGGGTGGGGAAGTGAGGGGTTCAGCTCAAACGCTGTGCATGTCGGGAGCGCCAGATTGGCTCCAAGACAAGAATACGCATCCTCCACCACTCCTTGCATTGTGTAGCCAGAGAAGGGAGCCGAACTAAAGCGCCGTTGAGGCTGCAGCACCTAGAGGCGATCCAAAGGTTGGAGTGTCAAATTGGAGGACAAAAAACAATTACCATGTAACACCATTCACTCGGTTGCACAATCAAACAGGAATTCATTCCATCCTCACCGCATAGTTTTGGCAGAGGTGGAGATTAAATTTATCACAGGCGGATTACACAGTCGACAGTAGTTTATAAACACACAACAAGATTCCATTGTGTGTGTGTGTGTGTGGATGGAGGGAGTTGGGAAAGTCCACCATTTACAATGGCAATGACACACGTTGTATAAATACCTGGAGAAGGTTGAAAAGGGATAGCGTGGTAATAAATATTTTAAAGCACCAAAAATGCATTTTCCACATGTGGGAAAATTGGTGATAAACAATAGTGCTTGGCTTGGAAAAGACAAACACTTGTTTAATTGCCTTTGATTGGTGAAAGCGGTGATTAAATGGCATTGGAATGGATGAGGAGTGGATACGATCTCTTCATCTGGTTTCACCAACCTCCCATGCCTGTGTTTCAAGGTCATTGCGTAAATAAATCAGTTTTCAGCACCACCACCACGTAGGTTTGGGTTAAGGCTTACTCACCTCATGAAACACACTGACGACAGAGCACCTCAATTGTCGTATGCACGTTATGGCTACACTAAGGGGCATAAAGTGATGCCATTGTGACATCCTCATTTGCTACATTTTGCTCTCTCGTAGGCAGTACAAAGGGAAAATTTTTCTTTAAGACAATGAGATCAGCACACCTCTTCCTTCCACGCATATTTCCAGCTTAACGACATACACACACAATCCAGCTTTGCATTACTTCTGTTGAAGCAATTTCTACTTTCACTGTTAGGACAAATTACAGTGACTCTGGCGTCATCGTTCATCCATTTTTTGTGTTGACGGCTCTAAACAGCATGACTTGTCTTCTACCCTTCCGCGTCTCCGACCATCTGACAGTGGCACCAATAAAAGTACTAATTTGTTGTAGCAGTGAGGATGAAGGGAGTGTTGTGTACCATCACTGGATCCATAGTTGTTGCAGATTAGCGATTTGATCAGTGAACTTTAACGACTTGTCACACGTCTACCCACCACATACGTGGGTTTTGTCAATTTGTCCAAAGATATTTCATAGGATGCATGCCAAGGTTAT